TCAAGGAAATTAATAGAATTTAATATAATTAAATTAGATTAAGTTGATTATTTCATTTTATTATTTAATTCAAATTTTTATTAAAAGTAATTGAGAAAATTAAAGAGGCAAATTAGTTTATTTTAATCCAAAGTATTTTATTAAAGTATTTAAATTTAGTTTTAAATATGTAAGTTTTTACCCAAAATTTTGGTAAGTATCTTTACATATTTTATTAAAAGAGCATTTTTATGGAATGAGTTTAGTTTAGAAAATTTTTATACCTAGTTTTATTAAAAGATTGGACATAATTAATTAAATTAATGAAGCATTTGCAGTGAATATTAATAATTTAGACAATAAAATAGCGAGTGACCTACCTGTCTTGCATTCTTTGTACATAGAATGCGAGACATTGTTGGTAATACTCGTTGACCTATTTAGGTCTTAGGTTGAGAGAGTTACATTTATTTTCTTAGTTCTTTTTTTTTTTTTCTTTATAGTGTGTTAACAATTTAGATCTAGATTCTAAATAATTTATATCAAGATTTTATTTGTGAGGGATATTTCTTGTTGCTTGAAAGAAATTGATGCTCCTTGACAATTTTGAAAGTTTGAGATTTTCCATTAATAGGGCCTAATAATGCAGCTCATTTCTTTGTTAATTTATGGTAGTGCTAAACTCAACGGTAAGCTTGATATGCAAAAAAAATTTGATTTTGGGCAATTTTTATCGGAAAGATCCAATGAACTTTTGTTAATGCATATGAAGAGACTATTTACTGCGTACATAAAAGATCATTATTGTGAAAAAAAGGTTTTGTCTACTTGTTTTAATGTAACAAGTTGCAATTTCCTTCTTAGTTTTTAGCATCATTATGCAAAAAAAAATGGTGATGTATTTGTTTGACATCATATGTCATGAATCAGCATTTTTTATCCAAAAAAAAAAAAAGGATATGCTTAAATTTCTTCGAATGACTAATTTGTTTACCTAAATAATTTGATGGGCTGTTCTTTCTGTTTTTTTTTTTTTTTTTAATATTATCAATAAAAATTCAATTAAAGCGTTATTCATATTAGTTTTTCCCCAAACGAAGTATAAAGTAATTCTAATACTTTTTTTTTGTCCACACGTAACTAAATCGGCAATCATACCTTAATTTAGATATAATAATAAGAAATCGCATTCTTAAAAGGTTTAGGATTTTCCCAATAACTTATATAGCTAAGATATCTTAGAAATATGTTTCTATATATGATTTAAAATTTAAGAATTATTATAAAACTTATTTGGATTTTTTATTATACCATTATTAAGGATAAACCATTGTTACAGTATTGTCAAAGTTTTCTAAAAATGCAAAAGGAATAAAATAAAAGGTACTGCTAAATTTACTAATTAAAATGATATTCTTATCAATTTTTTTTCCAAAAATTACTAATACATCTTTCACTAACATTTGATATATAATAGTTATTGATAATTAGTGAAGGGTGTACGTTTTGATAATTGTATAGAAAAAAATTAGTGAAAATAACAATTTGATTGATGAATTTAGTAGTATTATAAAATAAATATGATAACTGCTAACTATCTTTATAACATATGAACATGTGACTTATTGTTATGGCTAAAAAAAATTACTAATGCATCTTTTACTAACATTTGATATATAATAGTTATTGATAATTGGTGAATTGTGTATGTATTGATAATTGTATAGAAAAAATTAGTGAAAATAATAATTTGATTCATGAATTTAGTAGTATTATAGTAGTATTATAGAATAAATATGATAACTGCTAACTATCTTTGTAACATACGAAGACTTGACTTATTGTTATGGCTAAAACTCTATATTGTTTCCATATGAGATAAATTTTTTGGTTTAGTAATATTTTATGCTTTGCAATATTATTACTTATTCTCTTTCTTTTAAAAAAATATTTATGCTTTAAGATGGAGAAATTTTAAAATATTCAAGGATAACTATCGCGCATCTATGAGTCCACTTTTGAGGAAAAAGATAAAAAAAAAAAAACATTCGGATAGCCAAGAGTGATAAAAAAATTTCATAAAAATCTTCGAATTTCTAAGGAAAAAAAGTACAATTTCTCTATGTAAATTATAAATTAGTCCTTCATATTTTGAAAAATAAATTAATTACTCCCGTAGTTTTAAAAACTAATAATTTAATCCTCAATAGTTAGTTATTGCCAAATATATCAAATTAACACCTAATACCTAAAATACCTTTTAATATATATAGCCAGTCATGAGGTTATGGTTTTGTGCTTGAGAAGAGAGATAGAGAGTGAAGATTAATAAAATGAGAAATAGAGATTTGAGGAGAGAAATATGGATTTTTTGTTGTGTTTGAGAAGAGAGAAAAAAACGTGTGTGAAAGAAAAAGAAAACATATAAAAAGGATAATTTGAGAACAAAAAATACTATAATAAAGACATCTCATCGTCAGTCTAACAAAAAGTTGATAAAAAGACTAAGTTATTGACGAGATTAAAACGCGAAGAGCTAAATAATTAATTTTTACAACAAAAAAATTTATTTATTTATTTTTTAAAACAAGAGGGACTAATTTATAATTTACTAACTAGTTTCGTGGAAAGAGAATGTGCAATATAGAGAAAGAAAATTACTTGCTTTGTTCCAGTAAAGAAATACGTTGTTTACTCAATACTTTCCAATGCCTTTAGTCCACAAAGGAGAGAGCTTTCTTAGTGCATTACTTCATTTTATAAAGCATGAAACATACCAAGATAGCATGCTTGTCCTTTATAAAGTTCACTCATTTCAGTTGTAAAAAGTTGCAGATTACTTTATTGACAAAACTAATTCATGTGATTGATCCCTTAGGAATAAAAAGAAGAGAAAAAAGAGAGACTATTTGCTACATATTAATAATTGGCTTGAAAATAATGACTCTGATGAAAGCCGATTTGACAGTGATTGAGTTTTGAAGCAGGAAGTCATTCATTCAAATTTCAAGACTTAAAAGACTTGGTTGCTCAATCAATCAATGCCGTACGTTGATGAATTTGTTCAAATGGATCATATCCTGACAAGGCATTCTAAAGTTCTAAACTCTATCATTTCACGGCAATTACTTAAAAACTTTTTCACAAGTGAATTAAAAGTATAAAAGCAGCTTAATTTCCATAAATCCATTGAAGAAAAATACCACTACTGTTGATTTGGGGGGAGAGAGAGAGAGAGGAATAGAGAGAAGTAATAAGACATACATAAAAAGGATTATTTTTATCATGCTCTATACCCACATATATTTGTATGTAAATACCCTAATATGATAATTATAGCAATCCTAAATTAAGGAAATTAAATCATTATTAGACTGAGCTATCATATATAGCTATATAGCTGTCAACACTCCTTCTCCTCAAGGTAGTGTATGAATATCCCTCATACCCATCTTGCATACATAACAATGGAATAATTTGCTAGAAAGACCCTCGGTAAAGACATCAGCTAACTGATTTTCTGACTCAGCATACAAAACATTTAATATCCCATCATTCAGATGAAATGTTGATCAATCTCGATCGTGTTGAACAAGAATTTGAGCAATACTAATGGCTGCCTTGTTATCACAATATAGGTTCAATATGTTTGTTCCAAGTAGATGAAAATCTTGCATCTATTTTTTTAGCCATAAAAGTTCATAAACACCCTGTGCCATAGCCCTGTACTCTGCTTCTGAACTTGACCTCACAACTGCACTTTGTTTTTTGCTTCTCCGAGTAACTAAATTACCACCAATAAATGTGTAATATCCGGATGTGGATCTTCTACATTAGAGGATCCAACTCAATCAGCATCTATAAAGGCTTCGATTCTTAAATGTCCATTGTTGGCGAAGAGTAAATCCTTTCTCGATGCAAATTTTAAATATCGCAAAATGTGAGAAACTGCTTCTTGATATTTAGTTCGAGGATCATCCATAAATTGACTTACCACACTCATAACATACGCAATATCAGGACATGTAAGTGAAAGATAAATCAGTTTCCTAATTAATCTTTGGTATTGACCCACATCTACGGCTTCTCTAATGCCACCTATGAGTTTGTGATTAGCTTCAATAGAAGAATCCGCTCGCTTACAACCCAACATGCATGTTTCTTTAAGTAAATCCAGGACCTATTTCCTTTGAGATATAAAAATACCTTTCTCTGACCTTGCAACTTCTATTCCGAGAAAGCGTTTTAATTTTCCCAAGTCTTTAATCTCAAACTCCTTTGCTAGATACTTTTTCAATCTAGCTATTTCTTCTTGCTTGTCCCCTGTCACAACTATTTCATCAACATATACAATTAAAATTGTAATCTCACCATTATAATGCTTGATGATCATAGTATGATCTACGTTGCTTTGTTGATAATCGAAAGCTATCATGGCTTTACTAAACATGTCAAACCAAGCTCTAGGTGACTGTTTTAAGATGATGCTTTTTCAAACGACAATCTTTCCCTTCAGTTTTTTTACCATCAAAACCTGATGGAATCTCTATATAGACTTCTTCTGCTAAATTGCCATGTAAAAAAGCATTCTTTATTTACATCAAGCTGTTGTAAATCCCAGCCAAGAGTAGCTACACAAGATAGGAGAATTTGAATGGAATTCATCTTTGCAACAGGTGCAAAAGTTTCATGATAATCCATGCCATAAGTTATCCTTTTGCAACAAATCAAGTTTTAAATATCTCGATAGATCCATCAGCCTTGTGTTTAATAGTAAACATCGATTTGCATCCTACTAGTTTCTTACCCAAAGGCAGTGAAGTAAGCTCCTAAGTTCCATTTTTGTTCAAGGCTCTTATCTCCTCAATCATGCCTTTTTTCCACCTAGGATCATTAATTGCATCCTGCCAACATTACAGAACAAACACAGAGGATAAAGACGACACAAAAGCTCTATAGGAAGGAGACCAGGACTTATATGAAACAAAGTTAGAGATAGTATGTATAGTGTAAGCTCTAACTCCTTTCCTAGAAGCAATTGGAAGATCAAGATCACCATTGATAGAAATAGGATTAGGAATTGAGATAGGAGACTTACTATATGATTCCATAGAAGTTGAGTCTAGGATTGGCGATTGACTAGGTAGAGTACGATTGATGATTGTATCCAACTTTTTCTTATGGGCATACTTCAACAAATCTAGCTTGTCCAATCTCTCTGGCCTCTTGGGATCCTCATCAACTTGATGACCATCTTCTTCGTTCAACTATTGTTGTATCTCTTCTATTAGAAATTTTATATTTCCATTCTCTCTCTATCTTCATTCTCCCCCAGACTAATAGAATAGACATGTGACACATAATTTAGAGTTACCTCTTCTACACCACTAGTCTCCCCCTAAAGAGGTGATAAGTTAGAAAGGAAAATAGGATTCTGCTTCCCTAAAAGTAACATCCATACTAACAAACAGTCTCCTGGTGGGGGGATGATAACATTTACATCCTTTCTAAGTTAGAGAATATCGGAACACACATTTAAGAGTCATGGGATCTAATTTTCCTGCATTTCACTTATGGATAAAGCAAACGTAGCCAAAGACCTTAGGAGGAACAACATAGGATGTAATGCCTTGCAGAATTTCTAAGGGACTTCTGAAATTCAACATCCTCAAGAGCATTCGATTGATAAGATATGCTATTGAAAGCATGACATCACTCCAATATGCTTTTGGAACATCCATGGTAAACATAAGGGATTGTACAACCTTTAATAAATGTCTATTCTTCCTTTTCGAAACCCTATTTTGTTCTATTGTATCAACACAACTAGTTTGATGTATAATCCCACGACAATCTAAATAGTATTGAGATGACACTTTTGTATACTTTGTGCCATTGTCAGTTTGTAAGACTCAAACTATGTGCAAATCATCCTATGGAAGGACTAAAAGTAAGAAAACTTCACTTTTTGAACGCTTCAAGTAAACCTATGTCATTCGAGTACAACAAACAATGAAAGAAACAAACCATCTATAGCCAAATAATGAAACAACTCTACTAGGGTCCCACACATCAGATGAATGGTTGTAAAAGGAATAATACTCTTATTATTAATGGAATGATAAGAAGTTCTTGTGTGCTTTGAAAATTCACAAGCATCACAAACTAAAGACTCCACATTACATTGCTTAAAAACGCAAGACATAATCTTTCTAATATTGAAAAAGATGGATGCCCCAATTTGTTGTGCCGCTGAATTAACTATTGATGAACAGACCTAGAATTCCCTGATAATGCTGTATTATTTGAGGGTGAAAAACAACTGAGACCAACTTTCAGGAAGTAAAAGCCATCTTTCACTCTACCATAGCCAATCATTTTCCCCATGATCAATTCCTAGAGGACATATGAGAAGAATAAAATTCAGCTTTACAATTCAAGTCTTTTATGATAGTACTGATATATAAAAGATTATTTGGAAAGTTAGGAATATGGAGAGCAAAAGGTTAAGTGATTGAGGAATTACAACTAACTGAACCTTTGGCTGATATGAAAGACAAAGATCCATCGACAATACAAACTTTATCTCTACCTGAGCAAGGACAATAAGTTAAGAAATTTTTGAAAGACCCAGTCATATGATTAGATGCCCCTAAATCTATGATCCATGGATTATTTTGAAATGGTTGAAAAAGCTCCATAAGATATTCCTGAATGTGCAAAATTAGAGAAAGAAGCCATATTAGAGGACAATCAATTCGATTCATAAGACACGTGAGAGTTTGCAACTGTTCATTCAAAAGTCCTCCATTATTAGTGCTTTCACCTGATCCATTTGTATCCATCGTTTCATACATATGATCATGTGATCTTGAAGAACCCATTCTCTTACCTCCTTGTCCCCTTATTGGTCGTCCATGAATTTTCCAATAAGTTTTTTTTTTTATGTGTCTAGGTTTTCCACAATAATCATATTTAAGATTATCCTTATCAAATAATCCTTGATCACTTGCCTTAATTTGCTGGTTCCCCTTTAGTATCCCTAGGAAATGAGTTTGTCACTGTACCAGATTTGTCATTTGGAATGATATGTAGCATAGCATTCCATCGACTTTCTTCCTATTGTACACAGCTATGAGTCTGCTGTAATGAAGGAATTGGATCTCTACCAAGAACTTGAACCCGGATCTGATTATAGTCAACATTTAGCCCTGTTAGGAAATCATAAACACGCTCTGTCTCTATTAACTTTTCCAACTTAGCTGCATCCTCAGGACACGAGCATGGAAATCCTGATCGTAATCAAGTTTCTGCCATAAGCCACTAAGTTTAGAGATATATTGTGCTATTGTCATCTCACCTTACTTTATTTCATGAACTTTCTTTCTTGGTTCATATCCTTGAGCATCATTGCCCAGTTGCGAATATGTTTGGGCAGCAGCATTCCAAATTTTTTAAGCAGTTTCGAGAAGCAGGTAACCACGAGCAATCTGAGGTTGCATGGAATTGGTAAGCCAAGATGTGATAAGGGAATTTTTAGACTCCCATTGACTAAGGAACGAATCTATGGCTGCAGGTTTCTATTTATTTCTTATGTTGTAGCCCTGTAATCCTCGAGCTTGAATAAACAAAAAACAAGATCTTGACCACGCAAGGTAATTTGTCCCATCCAGCTTAATGGGACTGATTTGGAGAGAGGGGTTGTAGCCAAAAGATCCAACCTTGTAGCTACTACTGTTTTCATCGGTAATGTTTGATTTCTTTCCCTCCGACAAGTCTAGACGCACGGATTAAGTCTACTAGTCAACCAATCACAAAAACCTCTCCAAGTTGGCTTGTTCTGCTCACGAAAACCTTTTTCTAATCAAAGTTATCGATCATACTACATTTTTTTTATAGAAGAAAAATAGCTCAAAAACCTAAAAAACCAAGCTCTCATGCCATGTTGATTTGGGAGTGAGAGAGAAAGAAAGAGACACAATAAAACATATAGAAAAGAAAGATGTTATTTTTATTATGCTCTATACCCACGTATATTTATTTGTAAATTACCTTAATATGATAATTATAACAATCCTAAATTAGGAAAATTAAATCATTATTAGACCAAGCTACCATATATAGCTGTATAGCTGTCAACAACTACCAATAAAGTAGGTAGAGAAACTGAAGGATCGTTGATCAAGGACTACAAAACAGTCCTCACTATTTAAGACCGACAATGGCATCCTCAATAAGAAGACATACATACATGATATCACTGACAATTAATCTCATGTAAGAATCAAAACTAAGTTTTTCCGTCTCGAATTTCTAAATCAATAGATCTTTGTACATAATTCTTTTGTCGTCTTTTTCTCAAATCTAAAAGCCAAACTTCTCCCACGTAAATGAATAACGACAATACTGTATGTCTCTTTTTTTATCAGACTATACTGAAAGTTCAACCACTTAGTTTAAATGGTGATATGTACCTTAACTATATGAGCTCTAAGATTTTATGGGAGAAGACTCATCAATACTAGAAACAATGAGTGCAGAGGATAAGGTTCTTATTTAGATCCAATTGACAAGGCAGGAATTTTTTATGAACAGGGAGATGTACAGAGGTTGATGTTATGATAGTTGTGCAGAATTCTCTCTTAACAGCCAAGTGAGCAGCAAGAGAAGCAAGAAAACCAACTATTTCCTGCAGCCTTTGGGGTTGTTCCCGGGGTGGTTTCTGCAGGCTGTGGCTCCTGTTTCAAGTGCTTCTCCGAGGGGTGCTTCTCCGAGGGATGCTTCTCCATCACCTGGTGGAAAGAAGTTTTGCTTCCAGAGGTAGCATCCAATCTGAAATAAAGTTAAAAATTAGCTTCAGGTAGCAAACATCGGCAGACTTGGCGCTTAGCAGAACTAAGAAATCTAAATGGTCTAGTGATGCATGATAGGAAAAAGGGTAATTGTAGATATAGAAATCCAGAGTTTCAAATTCTTCTAAGAAGAATAATGTTTCTTGTAAGTCCTACATAGTGGATCACTGTCAGAGGAGACATCAGGCAGAGAATGTAACACATAATTTATGTCTAAATTCAACATAAGATGGTATAATATGAAGGAATTTAGCTGAACAACAATCCACTAATTATAAATTCAAACCTATAAGAATTGGAGACATATTCCCAAACACTAGTACCAAAAAAAAAAAAAAAAAAAAAAAAAGGGAAGAAAATGGTAATCGAAGTTCCACAATATCAGAAGCAAGAACAAAATATCAAAATTCAAAGTGGAACAGAAAGGACAGAGTGGTGATATGCATGCATTTGAGTATTCATTCAGGATAGACGGTCAGGTAACTTACAATGGGAATTGAAATGATCTGTTACTGCTAGAGAAGGAGACTTGAATGTCCTCAACAGGAGGCATCTTTTCCTGAGAGCTAATTTTATCTGTTGCATCCGGAACCTGCTTTTTGGTATTGCTCTCAGCTGTTGATTCGGGTTCCCTGTCTTCAGAATCACTTGATTCTTCTTCTTTAACTTTTATTTTTATCGATATATCTTCATTTTTTCTATCGTTTCTCTGTACTTCAATGACAGGACTCAAGCTGGGTGGAGCATTGCTTGTCTCATCAAACTTGGGGAGTTCTCCTGACTTATATAACATGAAAGCATTATCTTTTGAGAAGCTACCATTTCCCATGTAAATACTGAACAATGATTCATTTGAAGCAACGCTCCACTCCGTAGGATTACTAGGCTTAGCAAAAATGGATGATGGGATTCGATTTGGATCATAGCCTGCCATCACATAACTGAGGGGCGATGGTGGGGGCAATAGTTGAGAGCTATTAACAGGATTGTGGCTGGAAACTTCTGCTGGAAATAAGGGTACTTGTGATGATTCAACATCTGGTTGTTTGGGTTCAATAAGGGGATTGGGAGGATTATCCTTTTCAGCATCACTGGATCTTGCTGAAGATTCTGATGCAGAAGAAGATGAACTTTCCTGAGCAAGAATAGCATTTTCGTCGGCAATAACATCATAACTTTCTAAATGCTTTCTACTTCCCTCAAAATCTATTAAATGCTTGCTACTTCCACCCCGACGTTCACCAGCCATATGGTATCACTTATCTGATCACACCAATTTTTTCGAAATTAAGCTCCCTATGCTGCCTTGGAATATGAATCCAAGCTGCAAATCAAGAAGGAAAACATCTACATCAAATTCACAGCATATCTAACACTTTCTAACAGAACTTTTGGAATTCGGACGTTATATTTTCGAGTATCAGAATCAGAATGAAAGTAAAACAAGTGATATACAAAAACCAGTCCCTTTGCATTGCATAATCAACCAATGTAATAGAAAAAAAGGCCATTACCCGATGCACGGAAAATCCAGTAGAATCTTGAGAACTTCAACGCAAATCAATAAATGGGCCATAATTATCTAATTAATGTCCCATAATACTTTGCCGCATTAACAACATAAAAATTCTTAATCAGTTCAATAATTGTCAGTTTCTGCTTTGTCAAGCACAACACAAAAATAAGTAATAAATAAAATCCTTCTTTTCCTAAAACTTCCTTGAAAAACTTTGTTTTGAACGCAAAAAATCTGTAACATGTCAAGTAATTCCATGGTCTAACAATTTTTCCAGATTCTGTTAAAAAAAGCATTTAAAAAAAAAAAAAAAAAAAACTGACCTGAATCTATCAATCACAAAGTGATATGATAACCCAAATTAAAGCTCAAAAGCCTTTCTCAATGTATCGCAGAATTTGAACCAAAATCAACCTCAAAACCTTTGGCTATAGAATTCGAACCAAAATAATAGAAAAAGAAATCAGAAAGTAATATGGAGCTTAATGTAGAAAAGGAAGACAAAGTTGAGATAGGAAAATTATGGAAATATCTAGGGTTTACGTGTTAGAAAGGATACAAAGAAAGGCTGAGAGAAAATTTCGGTGTTCTGTAATAATATTGTAACTAATTACGAGTGATTAACTAGGTTTTAGGTATCAATTTTTTTAATATATATAACAACGTAATTAGTTGTCATTTTCAACTGGCTAGTTAGCCATTACAACGTCTAGTTGGAGATCGTAAGATCGAGTTGTAACTAACTGTGTTTTGACCATATATATACGCGGGAGGACAGAAGTTAGTTATTACAAAATGTACCTGGAGGTTCTAACTAACTCTGTTTTGATCGTAACAGAACTTATAAATATTACGGACCCGGACAACCTTTTTCTGCTGGGTTTTGCAAGTCCTAAAATAGCGTTCATAATGATTATTAGCTTTGCTATACGTTTTTGTCTTTTGCAATTTTGTTTTAATATAATATTTCTTATGATATTAAAGCTTATTAATATTGATCATATGGAGCTTCACTAGCTGGCAAAAATTAAGGAATTTCATTCTGGAGAGAATAAAGAAACATGTTCACTAGTTTATATCTTAGAACCAGCACATTAATTGTAATGATTTAGGTTATATATGGTATGATTTTTGTAAATTAATTGATTTCATTTGTTTTTTTAACTTTTCATTTGAAGAAAACTTATAGTTATTTTTTATTGGAAATAACTTTTGACTTAAATTAAAAGTTTGTTACAAAATTAAATCAAAATTTTGTTTTAATCAAAGTTAAAAATTTTAATTTTTAACTTATGATTCTAACTTCTACCACGTACATTAGTTTTTTTTTTTCTTAAAAAAAAAAATTAATTCGAGTAATTTTTACTAAATATACATATAACTTAAAATCATTTTAACTCATTTTTCTTATAAGTTGTTTATGAAAAATAATTTTTGAATTATGATTTGCTTTTCATAAATCATGTCAAACATATATTTATTATCATTATGTCTAGAAGTACTTACAAAATTTATTAGAGAAATAAGTTAATATGTTTTTATATAATAGTCTGAATCTCCAATCTATTTTTATAGTTTTAATTGTATTTATTATATTCTTAAATATTATATTAGTTTCCTATTTGTCATTCCAATTAATTTTTTCAACTATAAACAATTTTTTTTAAAACCAAAATGCCTCTAAAATTGTAAAAAAAGAAAAAAGAAAAAAGAAAAAAGAAAAAAAAACTAACTTTGAAGACTTTAGCTTTTTTATTTTTTGCCTTTTAATCAAAAGTACTTCGGTAAAAAAAATTATATATTGTAAGGAAAAAAATCGAAATGACATATTGAAAATTTAAATATTATTCAGATATATAATAAATGTAATTATTAAAAACATGAGAACAGATTGAAAATTTAATTTATTATATAAAGATAAATTAATTTATTTACCCAAATTTATTATAATGCTCAAAATGATCGTAGCTAGGTAGGTTTGGTCATTTTGCTACCATTCCAGGTTCAAATTTGAAAGAAATGTCGGGAAAAGAAAAATTTCTTGTATACATCAGTGCGGATATATGTCGGTTTAAAATCCGACCAGAAGAGATTTAGTTTCGAAATAGCACTGGTTTCGCTTTGCGGGATACCGTCATGATAACGAAGGGAAAAATAAAACATTTGGAGTCGAGGGTTCTTATGTAAATATGATGAAAAGTTGAGGATAAGGTATATAAGAACGTAGAAGTTCAGCTTAGCATGTCATCTCCACAGCCTGACACTTGAGCTCTTAACTATTTGTAACACAGAAAAAATGTTGAGAGTGGCAGTTAGTGCTTTGTCAATGGAGATAGCCTTCCACAAGCAGCTACTGAGCAATGGAGTTGAGAGTCTTAACTGTAAGCTCTGCTCTTTTCTCCTCAAACTGCAACATCATATCCTAGCTACTTGATCTTTTGTAGAAATTGTGATTAAACATGTTATGGGTTTGTTTATATAGAAGATAATCAGTGATAACATTTCATAGTTGTATAATCGTTAAGTTGAGTTGGGTTCTGTTTAATTGCTGTCTTCTTTGAAGCCAGCTTCTATGCCTATTGATCATCTCACAATCTCGAATATGATTTTGTGTTGCATTTTGGAGGAGGAAGCTATATTAAGCAATAATTGATCTATACATTTAATTTTCCTTTTCCTTTCTATTTAGTTGAATTATACAGGATGAATTAGGTGAGGAGCAGACTGTTTACCAGTCACAATTATCACTTAATGATGCTGATATAATAACCAAACATAGAGAACCCTTCGATCAGAGTTCTGAAACAAGTCATAATTCAAACAAGAATTGCTCTGTCAAATGATTGGCTGCTTCATCTATTCTGATTAATTGTAGGTAATAATATAACAAGACAGAGTTCTGCACAATTTGTCCAAGCAAGTTCAGTGGGCATTGCCGACGATTTTTCTTCTGTTCATCTCAAACTCCCCAATTTGATGACCAGCCGTTGCAATTTTGTGAAGGTAAACATTCTTTCTTTTGATCTTCGTTTCCGGTATGTTTTCTGTATCAAATGCTAATCTTCTTTTCTATCCGTCTAGCTTCAGTACTTCTCCTTCTTCTTCTTCTTCTTCTTTTTATTTTTATTTATTTGTTTTTTATGTTTAAGCAATTTACAACGATTACATGTGCAAAGGAGAAAGTATAAGTGTTGAATTTATGAGTACTAGTCAGGACTTTTGTCTTAAATGACAAGCCTTTTGATCATTGCATCTGGTTGATCTTCAGCTGGAAATCTAATCTTGTTTTCTTTTTCGTCCAGCTTAAGTACTTCTCTTTTTCCTTGCTATATTGATATTTAAGCAAGTTTCAAAGTAGCCAAACTACCAAGTAAAAGAGAAAATAACAAGTTACCGAGTTTATTGAGTACTAATCATAACCTGGACTTAAAATAATCGACTGCTATTAATGAGAATCTTTAACCACGAAATAAGTTGCAGTCATTTTTCATTTATAAACTTTGATAACGTTTAACCAAATGGAAACTGGGACATCATGTTCTAGTAAACTGGCTTTGAAGGATGCTAAGTGCAGTCATGGAGTGAAATCCAATGAGGGCCCAGATTTGTGTAGTTGCGACTGCGTTTAGCATGGGCACTGGCGTTTTGATATACGCTGTCTTGCATTGGCCTACATTTTGATGCATTTCATGCATCAGCACAGGTTCAATTCTGTTTAGATTCACTGACATTGTTTTCGGAGTCAGGTTTGTGCAGTGAGGAGGAGAAGGATACATCAGAACACCGGAACTTATGTACTGTTAGAACCTGGAGAAGATGAGAGATTTGTTTCTGATGAAGAGTTAAAAGCTATACTGAAAGGCTATCTTGAGAAGTGGCCAAGACCAACGTTGCCGCTAGACCTAGCAAAATTTGAAACCTTGGATGCTGCTGCTGCTTTCCTGGTAAGTTCTGTGTGTGAACTTGAAATTGATGGAGATGTTGGTTCAGTCCAATGGTACGAAGTTCGTTTGGAGTGACAGAAGAACTCAAACCTTAGTTACCAAACAGTGTTCACAAGTTCAAACTTTTGGCCTAGAATTTAAGAACAGCCGATTCCATGTATGAATGTTAGTATGCTAGATTTTACAGTGCTCGTTAGCTCGAGTAAGTTTCTTCTTGTTGGACAAAAGATAGGATGCTGTAACATAATCTTCCAAATGCTGTGTTTGCTACACTGCTGCGCCTAATGGAAAAGAATTTGAAAACTTTCAACCCAACTTTGGTTTCTTTTGCGATTGTGGAAACAAGCATGACCAAACATTACCATGGATGATTGTTTCTTTTTCTGTGAAAATTCCTATGCTAAGCTGTATTAATATGTACAGATGGAAATTCCTATGATAAAAAATTTCAGAATTATTTTCAAACGAGGGGAAGAACCAATCCAACTCATGGAAATTCAGAATTTAAAAAAAAAAAAAGACAGAAATTGAAACAATTGCATTAATATTTTAATGAAATGGAAAGGACATGATGATTTCCTTTTTATGACTACACATCTCATCTCGTGAAACTTTCTTGCGACAGCAAAACAAGGCTATTTATCCAGACAAATTCATCAAAGTTCAAGAAACCAATCAATCTGATTGATTGACAACATTTATATCTGCCAACCTTTATATCTCAATTTTGAAAGCCACCACATCGTGAACTTCTACATCTTGAACCTGCTACATTAATTGCCAAAACCAAATTCAATTCATGCACCCACAAAGTAAAAGAACGGAACTTCATGGAACAAAGTAATCCCATAATGTTTAATCAAGAAGTACTAAAAACCAATAAAGGAGTTTGGCCATACCTTGGGCTGATTCAAACTTGGTGGCAAGAGAGCACCACCCTTTCTGTTTCTTGCAAGAAGGCCTTTTGTAATAGGTGAGATTATAAGATCAGTAGGGCTTCTATACCTTTCAGGGTGCTTAAATGCCTTGGGAACTTTGAGAGGATCTGGGGTTCTACTTTTGCGCAGATCATTGCTTGAATTTTCAGATTTTTTATCCATCTCTTGATCTTCCTTTGGTGGTGTTATGCATTCAACCATGGTGAATTTTGATTCCATTAGCCTCTTAATCGGCGTTTCTTGCATATTCTCCACTGAGTTCAGTATGTTCTCCATATATAGTTCAGCTCTATAGCACTAAAAAAAGACCCCTCTTGTTAGACAAAGAGACCTTAAGGTGCCCAAAAAGAAAATAAAACGTTGGAGAAACAGAAGTTATGACAGAGCTTTTGTGGAGAGAGAGAGAGAGAGAGAGAGAGAGGGGCTCAGGGATCTTGAAGGATTTGAAGATTGGATTTAAAGATATGAAGAACGCAGCAGTGGATATATGAGTTTCCAACGGTATAATTTAGGGCTCTCTGAGATGAGGAGTGCCGTTGAGATTTGAAAAGTAGAACTGGCAACGTCAGATTTTCTATTCTGCTCTACCCCAAAAAGACAAATTGGATGTGGGCGCGTTTAGTTTTAGTTAGCCACCTCAATGGACCAAATAATAGATGTTGCCCAAATCAAATTACGCTGTACTATTCATAATTTAATGTTCTAATCTTTTTTTACTTCATTTCTTGTGAAAACACCTCTTTTTTTTTGGCAACTTAAACAGTTTTATGTTACATCTCCTGAAAGTCTTGGAAAGAGAGGATAATTGCAACTGTGACATAGGCGTACCGCAATAATAATAATAATAATAATAATAATAAATAAATAAATAAATTGTGACATGGCAAAACTTAAGCATGCTTAACGTTAATTAACAACTCAATTGAATGAAGAATTTTTTAATCTAATGATAGTGATTTTTTTATAAAAAGTCACATGTTCAAACCATAACAAACTACTTCTACTAAAAAAAACAAATGAATTGAAAGAAGAATTTTTTAACATGTACAAATTGAATTTTTCTTTTACATATAAATATGTGATTTATAAATTATTTTTATGATAGATTTTATATTTTTGTGATTAGAATACAATTGTCAATATTCCTAATAATTTCTCAAATCTAAAATATTGGTCAAATTAAGTTTACTTTTACATTGTGATCAAAATAAATCATTAGTACTAGGATTAAACTACGCATGATAAAAATATTCTTCTATTTTGGTTTTTTTTTTTTTTTTTTTTCAATTTGAGCCCAGGTCCTAAATTGAGATAGAACACCAAAATTGTTCAGAAATAACACCTTGGAATTACATAGATTTTTTTTTTAATAAAAGAAATTGTGTATTCCAAATTTCCAATAAAAATAAAAAGGAACACAAAATGGAAACGAGACGTTATTGGTCAAAACCTTCGAAGACCATGACACCAGAAATTTTTTATTCTTTTTCATGCAATTGGTGGTGCATAGAATTGACCCAAATCCATCCATTTAACGCATGACTCAAAGCCTTGGGCATAAGACATAAAGTCTGATTGGAATCGAAAAACTTGGCCCAAAGAGATTAATTGAAAAAAATAAAATTTAAATAATAAGAGTAATATAATTAGATACATATCTTTAAATTAAAATCTTAAAAAATATCATATATATTCTATCATCTTCAAACGGACTTATTATATTCGATACTTAATTTTTAATAAATACCAAACAGTTTATCGTGAACATATTCGATACTTAACAAATTCAACGTTTAAAATTCAATACTTAATTTTTAATTTTATCACACACCATCTAAGTTTAGAAAAATTCTAAACCTAAGCCTAACAAAGCAGCTGGAGATATTAATTAGGCTCGTTAGACAAATCTGATCTGTCGAAAATCCCACATTTTCCATCCTAAAGACGTCCACACTTCTAAGTGGGTCTTCCAAAAAGATCTGCACACAAAAGGTCGATGCATGATGATGGCATGAATATTTTGTAACAAAAATTTCACGAATAGACGAATGTAAAAATTGCTAAAAAAAGTATAAAATTACAGCGGCTGCTACTGTGTCTATCCGTGAGTAATTCATGTTTATTATTATTATTAAGTTGGAAAAATAGATAGGTTATCTTATACTCTTTGATAAAAAATATTACGTCACATTATATTATTATTTTTTATTTAAAAAGATTCTAGCGTACTTATATTGAAATCAAAATTTAAAATATTTCTAAAAATAATTACAATTATAGGAAAAAATATAATATATTATCAACTACATATTGTGATAAAGAGATAAATCTCAAACTTTCAATCTTAGTAATATTAAAAAAAAAAAAAAAAAAAAACTCATTTATCATTTTACAAACCAACTAGTAACATATTGTTTTAGCCACCGTAATGGACCAAATAATAAAAAGAAGGAAAGTAAGGAAAAGTAAACAATAACATCAAAATCTTCTTAATTAGTTATCTTTACCGACTGATTTTCCTTTTTTAGAACTATTTTGATTTTTGAAGTGATGGCATCTGATTAAACTTTTGTAACATATGACGTATGATCAATATCACAATAATAACGTTCAATACTTGATTAAACAGACCTGTTTTCAAGGGGAATGATCGAAGATACCTAATACATCATCTGAATGGACTGTGATCCTCAACACAATGGACCATAAACAAAGGCTCCCTTCCATTTGATAAGATGGCTGGTCAAAAATGCATTAAAGAAACTACCAAAGTAAGGAGACCCCATTAATTATCCTTGAATTAGAAGCAAGCAAAGGAGTCCTTAATCTTGACTGCTGCCCATGTACTACTAATTAATTATTTATATGGTGGGGTTGATGTATATAATCCCAAGAGAGAATAATTCTGCTGCACACGTGTGTGAATAAAATGAGAATACATCATCATAAGATCCCTAGATATTGACTTTCTTGTCTTAGCTTATGACTAAAATCTCAATCTTGATCGCTCTCCTTGCTTTCATGGCCACAATTGTATTGAAGGTCTTTTCTTACGGCAATATAATTTGATAGCAAGGCCCTTGGATTTGGCAGTATTGGCTTTGGCTAGCTTTTTCTAGATCGGGTTCTTGTTACTTGCTGCTCCTTGGTGTCTTCTTTCACATAATAATGATCCAATAATCCAAGAAACTGATTAGACTCAAGTTGGATGGAAGTAATGACAATATATCTCAAGTTTTCAACTAGCCAGTCTAGCTAGCTAATGTAACTTTGAAAGAATGGTGTTATCAGTTTCTCCTCTGCCAATGCCACTTATTAACTTTCCACTATATTATATTAATATTATTGAACGACCGAATTATTATTAACCCTATTTTATAATTTTTAAGCTACAACTAAAAGTCTATACTATAAAGTATAAATGTACACCTAAACAAAATCTAATGTATGTACAATACAATTATGAACAGAAAGTAAATCTTGAGTTTCATTTATTTTATAATAAAATTTGTACGTATTAGGACCATAAATTTGATTGCAAAATTTAATCACAACTTTATCTATTTTATAGCTGTGAGACACAGCAGCGTGATTGTAACATCAGAGATTTTGCATGATAATGTGTTGTGCATATTGCATAATTATGTATACAAATGCTCTTTAATTGTGTGGTTAATTTCATATTTTAATGTGTTTATGCATTAAGGATTGGATGATTAGGTTTTTTATGGTAGAATTTGATATGTTTCCGGAGGTACCGTAAGCTATATTTTATAAGTAGGAACAAATCCTATGAGCTTAAGAACCGTCCAGGCTATTAGGACGAAAAAGGAGGAGGGCGCTTGCTTTAAAGGGCTGGAAATTAACAGAAAATGGTTTCCCCCATTTTTCTTCATTTGTCTTGTTATTTCTCTCAAGCCTTAACCCTCCCACTTTATCTTCACCATCACCCACCCATTTATAACCTATTTCAACATAAAAAAAAAAAAAAAAACATACAATTAAAAGATAGACATTAGAATTGCACAAGAAGAGAAGAGAAATCAAAGATATCGAAAAGAAAACTCCAGGTTTTGGTGATTAAACATTCAAGGTAAGAAAATATTTAATTTGGTTATGTTTTCATATGATTTTAGATGGGGATTGAATTGAAAAATTTTATGATTTAGGATTGATTAAATGGGTATTGTATTTTAAGTTAGAGTCTTAAATTTATAATGAATAGTTGGTGATTAAGTAAATTTAAATAAGAATTGAGGAGGTTAATTGCAAACTTAATAAACTTAGAGTTTTGAATTGAAAATAAATTTGGAGAAAATGAATAATTAGGTTATATGAATACAATTAAGGATGAATGAAAGGAGAATTGGGTGAACTAGAGTAGAATCAATGATTTAATTAGGGTTTTGAATTGAAAAGAAATTTGAAAAAAAAACAAAGAATTAGGTTATAGGAATACAATTAAAGATAAATAAAAGAAGAGTTGAGTGAATTAGAGTAGAATTGGTGATTTAATTGAGAATTGATTATGAAATTGGGGTTCAATGGATGAAATTGATAATGAGGTATGAAATTGAACATTAATTGATGATGAAACACAATTGGATTAGTAGATTCAAGTAATTAATGAGTAATTGCCATACCAAATGTTATAAGGATGAAATTACGAGAAAGAACAAGAACTAATAAAATTAAATGTTAGAATTATATGATGAATTTTAATTACTTATGTTATATGATGTGTATGTTTAAGGTATTAAATTGAGTCGAAGTAATAACTGTTAGAAAACGATTACGACAATAGTGGTTTTAAGCAAATCAAGTAAATATAACTCACCTACATCATAAATGTAAATGTTATGTGTTTAATATGAATGATGTGATGTGATGTTCTTGAGGTGCATTCATATGCATACACATGTTTTATGTATTGATCTGTGATGAAATAAAATATTTTAAGTCAATGAATGAGGTGCATATGTAAATGACATTTTAATAAATCAACTACTTTGAATGCATGTTGAGGTTTTAATGTTAAAGGTATAAGTTAATTATTGAGGTTAACTATTGAGGTTAAATATTGAGGTTACTTGTTGAGGCTTAAATAATGAGATTTTATGGTTGATGCTTGATTGTCAAATATTGAAGTTAATGTGATTTCATGTTTTCATTGAGGCTAAACTTTACTAGCCTAGTGGCCATATTGAGGTGACTCACCCATGAAGAATGATGTGATGTAATGATCT